TTGAGCTTGGTCAGACGAACTTCATCCTGGTCCTCCGTGGTAAGGATTGGAAATGGGATGGCGTCTATTTCTGTTAAACCTAATTGTTGCCACCTCCCACTGTCTCGCGGACAGGGCTTCGATTCAAAGGCTCAGATTGAAGACCCTCATCGTCCGCCTGCCTAGGTCTGAGCGTTCTGGCAATATCTTAACCATGATTGTAACTACGCTGTACATCAGCGTTGCATCATCGATGCAGTACCGCGCACACAAACATGGTAACGCCATAAACAACATAGGCAGGCTGTGAAGTCCGATTTGGGTGCGATGCGCTCTCGAAATCTGTTATCTAAGATAGGCGTATATTAATTTATTGAATTCTGATTTTTCCGCGACTATGTCCCAACAGTTCACCAATATTTCGACGCTCGAAGCATAGGTGAGTTATCCGCTTCCCGTCAGGTAGCACAAGTTTGCAGCGAATGTTGCTTGGTGCGCGCACCTGCAGAAGCGGCTCCAGTAGAGGGAATCCACCCAGATGCAACAGCCAGTGCGCCATTACGGAGTCAAGTAAAAACCAAGGATGCAACGAGCTGTACAGACCCAGTCTCCTGCATCGGTCTTCGTACAACACCCCGTAAACTGTGGATGAGAATGGTAGCTACATGATGAAAACGACATTTGACCAGGCAATAAAACTAGTCTTAGGAAAAAAGATTAGAGATGAGCGGCACTTTTTTCAGCCCAGATGCAGAAGCTCATCTGCGATTTTGATGTCCACCCCGATGGTGGGTTGTTGAGCATTTATGATTCCCGAGAACCAAAGAGCGTGAAACTACTATCTGGATGTTGTTTGCCGATGATTGCACATTGTATGCGTACTGCGAGAATGAGTTGCAATGCATGAGAACGGCAGCCAAGTATAGACTCATCATTGACAGGTAAGACTATTTTGCAGCCATCACGAGGAGCAGAATTCGTGGGCCGCCAACGAGTAAACAGTGATGACGAAGATTTGGTGAATTCATAAAAATTTTACTGTCTTTGGAGTACGCTGTCAACAGAATTTCAGATGATCAGCAAACTGTACATTCGCGTATGGAAAGCGTGTGCGATTTTCAGCAAGCTGGAACACCGGGTGTGGAAGAATCATCAGCTGACTTTTGGAACCAACCTAATGTTAAATAAACCAATGGTGCTGTAAGTTCTCTACGGCAGCGAGATGGGCTTTGTACGTGGACATTCGGTAGCTAAAAAGTTTTCACCAGCAATGATTATGTCACCATTGGTGTGACAGTTACTGACACAGAAGTGCTCGGCCGGAGCAGCGTGTATGGAATGGAATGCATGTTACTACTGCGACACCGGAATATTGAATAATGGATTGCGAGTGCAAGATGTTTAAATCTACACAACTCTATCGTAATGAAGTCAAAAATGCTACCAAAAGTATCTGCTACCTGTTCATGCTCTAAACGTTCTTCAATTTCTTATGTAGCATTTAAAAATGACAGTATCATTGGGCTCACAAATGTAGATCACCGTCAATGTGCGGTCGTCCTCTGAATCGAACAGCGGTGAAATGTAAATCCAGCAACCTTTTGAAGCGCTGCACATATTTGGCATTCAAGCCTTGGTCTGTCAGACTATTCCAAACAATTACAACCTTCCGTTCGAACCACAGGGTTAGGGAATTCGCTTTATATCCGGCGCCACAGCTTGTACCGGTGTCTGTGTGGCGCATTAAGTTGGCAACTGAAGCAACCGTAACAATAATAAATAATAATGTGCCAGCTGTACGCCGTAACGGCGCTTCGCTGCCGCGCGACCACCATTAGTCACGCGCGGGCTGAGTATACCGCGAGGACGCCCACCCCTACGCGGATTCGAACCGGGGACCTTATGGTTGCAAACCAGGCGCGCAGACCACTCGGCCACCGACTGTAAGAAAATAAGAAAGTCACAGATGTAATATGCGGTAGGTCACGATGACATCGACACGCAGTCAATGATAGGACAATGTCTAGAGTCTTTCAAAACAGCCAGTCGTTTGTGACGGTGTTACTAAAATAAGGTGTAGGCGCCTTGACCCTGAACGTTTGTTTAGGGCATTAAGGTTTTCATGTAAGTCTCCTTTCCTTTTGTTATACTTCATTCCATATATCATCATGGTTGTATGGCAGCGAAGCATCATTTCAAATGACTGATGTACCGCTGTTGTTGATCGTACAATACCGGTGAACCAGGAATGAGCTCGGCAGCGACGTGTTGGACAAATCCCATCTATGCCTCGTTTCGGGTGATTGGACGGTAAGCGGGCACGAGTGACGTAACAGAAAAACGTGCAGTGCGGGCGTCCGTAGATTCTGAGTGGAGCATATGTAGTAGATCTTACTCCACGTTTCTCGGTAACCTTGGCAAAATAAGGTGTCAGACAAACTGATCTGTAGATATCCGCTTTGCGGAAATCAGCATCACTGTTTCTAGTCGCGCGGCAAGGAGCCTTTAGAGAAATAATAATAATAATGTCAACATTTTCGCCGTAACAGCGCTTTGCTGCCGTGCGACTACCCCTAGTCGCACGCGGGCTGAGTATACCGCGAGGATGCCTACCCTTACGCGGATTTGAAGCCGCGCCGCAAGACTAGGCGACAAGCTCGTTACCTTTAGGCTACGGGCCTTTAGACTGATTTGTTGAACAAATCAGTCGCGACTGGGAAGATGATAGCTGATTGAGACTTGAGATCATCATCATCATCATCAACAGCAGTACATCAGCCATTTGAACTGATGCTTCGCTGCCATACAACCATGAGGACCTATGAAATAAAGAATAAGAAAAGGGAGAGAAGGGGGACTTATCTGAAAACCTTAATGCCCTAAGCAAACATTCAGGGTCAAGGCGCCTACACCTTGTGTAGACAACATACCGTCACAAACAGCTGGCTATCGTGCAAAGATAAGGCTTGAGATAAGATAAGACTTGAGAATCAGTGGACGGAGTCCGTCAAGGTCTGCAGGTTTGGTGCCGTCAAGACTGACGAGTAGTTGACGCACCTCTTGAACACCGCAAACCAAACTGTCGAGTTCGGTAAGCGCGGTACAAGTCGAACTCGATAGACAGCCGTCATTTGCAAACACAGAAGCGAAGTGCAACGCTAACGTGGACGCACGCTCAATAATGGTTAGATGCTGTCCGTCCGAGCTCTCCAGCACTGGTAGATCACCTGTCGGCTTTACGTAAGCAAATACTTTTTTGGACGGCGGTTGCAAGTTGCTCTTCTAAATGTCGGCACTTGTTCGTTTCAACACTGTTGCAAATATTTTGCTGCGTTAAGAGATAGCCGTTGGGAGTAGAAGAGAAATTCATCCCACACTTTGCGCCGTCGTTAAGCTATGTTACCATGCTCCTTATCAAACCAATGCGGCCTGACTAGCCAAAAGTTCCGATACTTCAGTGGTACAAAGGATAACACATTAATGTTACTTCCACTTTTATAACAGTCTAAGTCTTCCACGGATGCAAGTTGCGCTAGAGGGCAATCCAGTCGAACGGTCGAGACCAGTTGTGAGCTGGATTCAGCGGACGAGGATACGGTCAAGTTTGACCCATGTTGGTTATGAGTACTGAGTGGTCGCATGCTGCGAAGGGATCAAAGATTCGGACGTCATATACATGTTCATAGCTTGTTACCATCAAGTCCGAGCACGACGCAGTTGGGTGCGGCTTTATACATGTCGGGTGGCATGTGTTGCGACGCTTCACTCTCTGGTATCAAGTTCACGAACCTCGCAATGTTCGGGCATGAATAGAACTTTAGGCCTGTGAATTCGCGGGCAAGTGAAATCATCCAAACGGCTCAGGGAACTGCAATAAAGTACATCTACGAGCAGCTCACCGGACGAGGTGGATCGAGTACCACAGCTCCACATCCAAGCCATCGCCGCTTCTGTAAACGCTTTAAAGCCTTGCACAGTTTAGCGGATGTAGATTGAGACGCCACCGCACGTAGTCGAGTCCATCGCTGTAAAACCATTAGTCAATGATCTCGATTTCCTGTGCAATCGTCTTAGAATTTAACCATGGTTTTGCAAATTACACTAAACCTGGTCAGCTCAGCGGACATGTCCGCTGCATGGATTCGACCAGAATACCGACAAATCTGCTATATAGCCGGTGGTCGGAAGGACAGACTGTCTTGTAAGCCATAGATCGCCGGTTCGAAGCAGGGTGGGTGCGTGTGACTTCACGGCATACTGAAAGAAGCGTCGGTATCTACTGTATTAATGACGCATTTATCATTAAGCGGAACATAGGCAAACCGAAGCAGCGCTATCAGAACCAAGGCGACCTGCTGCGAAAGATTAAGGCTTTAGCCACTAGGAAGAGATGGCAGCGAATCAAGGTCAATGCTGTGATCACACCGAAAAGATGGCTGATCGAGTTCAGGAGAAATGGATAGTGCATGAGGGAAAAAAAATGCTTGTCCCGCAAGCATCAGATGCTTCTACGCAGATTCGAACGGGCGACCTCCAGGTTACAAAGAAAACGCTATATTCCTCCGGCTACTTGTCCGATGTTAAGAACCAAACGTTAATGATTTTAGTAACTTAAAGCAAATTTCAAGGAACGGTGATTACTCACCAACAGATAGTAAACAAGATGGCAATTTAGTTAACCACAGAGCTTAACGAGCAATGCACGAAAGTTGAAAGCGGCAATACCAAGACAGATAAATATTTATTTCGCTATGCTATCTGAGCAAGATGTCAACCAAAGAATTCAGCCTTTTCCCGTAATCTGCTCACAACACTAGCCATATCTCGGTCGGGCTACCAGATTAACACATGCCGCATAGCTGTTTCGCAGATGACGCCCAGAGGCTGAGGCAATGGATCTGTTGCTCTTGCACAGTTATTCTATAGTGATGACCCAGTGACAAGACACAGTACAATACATGCAACCATCCAACAACAGGGACATTGAAGCATGTAAATGGGTGGAGAATAAAGTAAATTACTTGTAGCAAAACTTCCAAAACACAGGGTACGATATTATGATCCATAACTGCCTGGATCTGTTTAATGTTACCGGCAGCAATGTTGCTGACCATCCAGCAGGTCTCCTTCACAAGGCTTGATTTCTCGTGGCAGAGTAATGCGGGAACATAACGTAACACGCCAGCATCTATGACCGCTTGCGTCTGTGTGTCATCGCCGACCACTAGATTTCCGATTGTTCGAAGAGTTGGTGACAAAAGATTAGGCTGAAATAAAGTGTTTTAGAATCACAGGAGCCTACAGAGCGGGAGGACAACAAGCGAACCAATTGTGGTACGCAACCACTCTTGATTATTTCATCGATAATGTTATTGACAGCATCACTTGCGTAGGAAAGGGCCCAAGCAGCATCGATAACCACATCAGAAGATTTATCATAGTGTAAAAGTCGTTTCAGAACAGGAAGCATTGTTTTGATCACATCCGGTGAAGGTGGAGGGTCCCGGTTGCGACAAAGGTTTGATAAAACCCACGCTATATTGGATACGACTCCCTGCATATCCCACGAACGCTCAAGCAACCTATTAAGGTGATCGTAGTTCAACGAACGTACTTAAGTATTGGTGGGAGAACGCCAGCACCGATCAACATATCACGAAATAGTGCACCATCCCCGGCGATATTTCCCAGGGCCCAAACGCTTTGTTCAGCAACGTTCATGCTCGAATGACTAAGTAGATCTATTAACTTTGGGACAGCACCATCTTGAACGAGTGCAGCTGTGTGAGTGCTGTCGCCGGAGGCGATATTTGTCAACGCCCAAGTAGCTTCAAACACAAGTGCGTCACTAAAATTATTGCTTGGGTAGAAGAAAACTTACGATGATGAACTGAGTGACTGGATAAGAATAGGGACTGCATTGCGTTTGTAGAACTCGTCGATGGGAGGGTTCTTAGCTCTTGATAAGGTCTTCCGGCAAAGCTGTATAGCGCGAAAACGGACAAGCTCGTCAGGACTTTGCATGTCCCTTATAAGCGCGTCATAGTTTACGTGCTCCGGCGTATTAACCTAGAAGAATGAAACAATAACGAGATGAGCTTACCTGGTTCTCTTTGAGAGGCGAAGTCTCATCGAGCTCGGTGAGTAGTATGTTTCGCCGCTTCTGTAATTGTTCATCTTTCTTAGCGCGCCGGAGTTCGACCGACTGATCTACTCGTCTTCTTCTCAACTCCTAGGCGAATGTAATCCCATTAATGAGCAGCCTCTGCAAACCTCTGCGTTTTTATCTTTATTCTTATAAAGCCGAGAACGATCCATAGCGTAGCCACACGAGTAAGCGTTGTTAATTCGATGTGTTCAAACAAGTAAATTCAAGGTTAGAGCCTTTGACCGGTATAATTTATATTAATCACTACAAACATGATAAAGATTGAGCACTGCAAATTTATAATATGATCGCAAAAACTTGTGGTACATAATTTTTCAAAATAATTTATCGCTCATGTTCGTTGTGTTCATTGAGTGGTAGGGAGCAGAGGGAGGTCCAGTGTCAGCTCATTCGCCTCCCTATCTTCCAAGGATTGCAGACGTAGTAGCTGTGTCATAGCTCAGGATATAGTATCAGTCCCGCAGGATCCTGGAGTACTCAGTCTGAAGATGCCCAGTAAACCTTTGAAACTCGCTTCTGGCTGCGCATTGACAATCGGGCCCGGCAGTCGGTTCCAGTCATTAATTACTCGAGTAGAACGAGCAACCTCCGAGCGGACTTTGAACCTCCTTGGCTTAAACAGCTTTCATCTGTGACCTCGAGTCGAACTGCCAAGTCTTAGCTGTAAAGCCGCCTCAGCTCGTATCTCAATTCTCCTCATAGGATACGCCTAGTATGGACGAGGTCTCCGCGACGTCGGCGATAGTCTAGTGGAAAAAGGCTCATCCTCTGTAGTCGGGTGGGCTACGGGAGTTCGCGTAGCTTAAGGACAAATTTCGAGGCACGTCGCTGAATTTTTTCTCTCCTGTTACTATCATGCTTCGATATAGGGGCTATGGCGGCTAGTCCGAATTCAAGGATGTTACGAAGGTTGGAGGTGAAGAGAAGTCTAAATATCTGCGGCGTCCTTTTAGAGAATGATCTCCTTATGACACCCCACATCTTGTTCGCCGCAGCACTTTTCTTTAATGTGTCAGGGGTTGTTTTGTGATCAGAGGATACTATTGTCCCCAGGTCCTTTTCCTGTGTGGCAATCTTGAGTATGTACCCGCTAATGTGACAAATGCTCAGTGGTTCAGCAGCACCGATGGAAAGGACAGAGCACTTATCTTTGTTGACCGGCAAACTTCACTTGATAGACCAAGAGTGTAGTAGGTTAAGCGTTTCCTGTAATCGGTCGGCGTCTTCGAGGTTGGACTCTTCCGACCATAGCTTGAGGTCGTCTGCATAGCTCAGACAGTCCGCTTTTAGCGTACTTGGTAGGTCAGTGATTTATATCTTGAACAGTTCCGGTCCCAGAACGGAGCCTTGTGGTACACCACTGAACATAGGCACTGGAGATGAAAGGGTGTCGTTTACTTTGACCTGCATCTTCCGGCCTTGCAAGAAATCACTGATCCGTAGTAGGAGGCTCCATGTTATACCAATTCCACAGAGCTTAGAGAGCAGTTCCTGATGAGGGACTCTGTCAAAAGATTTGCTGAAGTTCCATTTATCGCAGACGAATAATACCCTGGATCAACGACGCGCCACGGAAGGAACATTCACTGGGATTTAGCATACTGTTCCAGTCCTACTCGATGAAGGCCACACCTAAACGTTTTCCAGCGTCAATTAATTTAGCTCACTTCTCTCTAGCGACCAACAGGTTGGTGTTGCAGTAACGTCCCTTTCGGAAGCCATGCTGAGTAGACGAAATGATATTCAGATGTTCGCTATGTCGGTGGATGACACATTTAATGAGCTTTTCCATGATCTTGCAGGCGACGACGTCAAGCAACTTGGCCGATAGTCCGCAGGGTCCTGGCAGTTTCCACCCTTTTTTCGGCATAACTACACCCGTCTTCCAATCGACCGGTAGTCGACCAACTTTAAGAGACAGCTGCAAAATTTGACAGTGGGACGATAATGAACTCTGCTACCATCTTGAGAAAATGGGGGTGTAGCCCGTCTGGGCCTGGTGAGGAAGGTGAGTTCAATGCTAGTAGTAGCTTTAAACTAGCACCTGCATCGATATTGATACGTCCCGGAGGTACTATATGTACAAGTACACTAGGCTATGCGCGTTTATCTCCCTTCGTGTATACTGAGGAGAACTGTAGAGCCAAAAGTTCAGCTTTGGCGTAAGCATCATAGTGTATAATACCTGGCTCATTAGTAGAAAATGCAGGAATTCCACAGCCGCCTTAGAAGATAAGTTAAGGTATGAAAATGGTTCCTTTTGCCGACAAAGGGATTGTCCGACCAGGCTATGCCCGTATCGTTTTTTCTTTGCTCGTCTGTGCAGGAATCAGATTTTCCTGATGGCCTTGCATCTAGAGTAGTCTGAGTCTAAGCGGGAAACTTTGAATCTTTCCCATAGTTTTCGTCGTTGTTTCATGTTTGCGCTAAGCTCGCGGTCGGTCCAGGGGACCCTTATAGAGAGACCTGTTACTGTGGAACGGAACAAACTCCTCAATATGTAGCTTCAACTTGTAGAATAGATCATTCCAAGCGGCATCGAGTTCCAAGTGTTGTGAAACCTTCCAGTCCAGCGTACTTGCTGCCGCCCTTAGCATGAATGCGTCGGGTGGCCAGAAGTTTTGACGGTGTGCGCTCCGTGCTCGGATAGCTAGACGTTTAGTCCATAAAAAGGAGCTTGTACTACGGACGGTTTTACCAATTCGCGGTAGAAGGGTCACTTCTGAGACAGCTGAGAGAGCCGGAGTGAGCATAAGATCAAGAGTATGCGGTGTCTGGCCGGGAAGAAGCCGAGTGTGCGATGCTATGTGCTGGGTGAGATTCGTTTTGAGGAGAGGTTCAAGGAGGCTGGCGTCAAAGAAATCGGGTGGAAAGAGGCAGTGTTGTAAGTCCCAATTAGCATCCGGGCATTGAAACCCCCCACAACAAGACAATCTCTGCGGTTTCCGTGCGATTTGACAAAGTCTAGCACAGAAGCGCCATGTCCCCAACGGGCTTTGTAGACAAGGTTAGCCATAAGAGATTTGAAGCCATCATTGATTCTACACCAGTGAAGTTCTGCGCCCCCAACAGCGTCGCTGACGGCTTCTACGAGATGAACTTTAAGATCCTCTCTCCAGTAGAGAACTACGGCGGCACCAGCTCTTGCTCCAAATCGGTCGGTGCAGAAATGTTGGTATCCTGAGATGTAGATCTCAGAGTCGGAGATAACTGAAGTGAAGCCAAACAGGTCACGAATTTGCTTTGCAGTACGAGCGTGTACCTCGTCCAAGTCGTTTCGGAGGCTGCGAACCTTTGCAACCATCACCTGTAGTCCATCCTTCCTCTTTGTTTTTAAGTCCCGGGGAGGAAGAACGGTGGCTTCCCGCGGGACCTCTGTACTTGCTGCACTACCTGAAAATCCACTAGATGCAGGCAGTTCTCGCCGTTTGCTCTACGGGTTCGTAGTTCTTTAACTGCCTTCCTCATTTTGGTTCGATCTTTTTGGAAGAGGTCTGTAAGAACATAGAACTTTTCACCTTTGAGGTGTGAGGTACGCCCAAAGATACAGCGGCACCCTTCTTCAGCTTGACAGACAACTTTGATAGGACGGGAGTTGGTAGTATCTTCTAGCTTTCTCCCAAGACGAACTGCAGAGACAAACTTAATGCCTTTTTCCCCATTATAAATAAATAAATACTTTATTCTCTTCTTTGCGAGGCACACCATCAAGGTCGTGATCATGGTAATACAGACATGTATGATCGGCAGTTGCACAAATTAGTATATTTTGACAAATGGCATAGGAATGCATGTGTCTGTTGCCATATAAATGCCTGTTTATGTTTGTATTTGGAAGTGGCCATGTTGTGTGGTTAGTTAAATGTGGCTCTGTGTGTGTTTTTGTTTGTTGGGTTAGCCATAAAAGGGGGAATCAATGGAACGCTTCGAATCGGATGACTTTCCTGATGTGTGAAAGATCCTCCAGGAAAATGGAAGAGGCAGTGACTTTATTAAGTGGTGAGTCACATCCGTCATGTCACCGTGTTGTTAAACGGATATCTGTGGCTTTTTATAGGGAGAATGCTTGCCATGCGAAATCCCACCACATACTGGAACCAAAGAGAGACCATGTGATTTAAGTATGCTTGATCGTCTTGTATTCTTTGCAGTGGTGTCTCCCCATTAGACTCCGGAGTATTTACGATGATTAGACACCGTTCGCAGGAGGGACGCTTGTTTCCATTAGGTATGGGTGGTTTCGGTGTCCTGGGTTTAGCCTTTGTCAGATCTCACAGCTGTGTCATTCTGGTCAAAACCAATCGTAAATGAGAGGAAATAGGCTTCGGTGGCGATTTAGACTTCTGCATCCTTTTAGCGGTCATTTTGCGCACTGTTGTGTTTGGTTTGACCGAAATTGTTGGTACGCCATTTCCCGCAACCGTCGCATAGGTCTTCGGCGGAGGAATACTGACCAGTCCATAAGTCTTTGGTGCTGTCTCAGGTGTATCGGAATTGTGTCCGCGCAGCCGACGCGAGGTGCTTGCATCTGAAAGAATTGGATAGGAAGGCGTAAGCTGGTCATCTGTGGAGGCCCCAGCCTCTGCTGAGCAGGAACGCAGAGTGAGAGCCGGGCGATAAGGAGAGGGGTGGTTATTGCTCCTTTCAGTTCGGCACCTGTCACCCTGTAAGCTGATAACCGGGGAGGTACACAGCTGAAGCTCCTGGTACTGTCCGGCGCTGATGCTACAACAAGCGATGTGCAGCCATTCGTTACAAAGAGCATTGGACAGCTTTGGAATGAGAGGCGATGCCCTTCCTGCAGGACACGCTTTTAGAAGACAGTATTCACGTTTTTCAATGGAAACCGGTTGCAAGCAAGTGACAGCACCGACCTTGAAGCGATTGCGGTTAAAGTGGGGGATGCCGTTACCAATCAGAGGAAATTTGACAATAGTCAAATTTCGCTTCAAGTGTTTATTCAAACACCGCGTTCTACCATATTTCAGCTAGGAAACTCGATGAGCATGGCACTCCGAAAAATCGAGGTACTGCATAGAACTCATAGTATGCCATAATCGAGTTCAAGTAGGACTGGAACGATAGGATTGGAGTTCAGTAGAACGGTAGAGAGTAGGAGATACTGTGTCAGCTCCCTCACTTCCCGTTTAAAGCAGTGATATCACGGCTCCTTGCGAAACGTCGTTCTACAGGGGACCATCAGG